ATTGTCTGGTGCTTTCTTAGACCTTAGCTGAAAATTACTGTATTATGGCTTTTAGTGCATTCCTGGTTGATTATCAGCAAGTGTTCCGCAAGCTACCAAGACAGAATCCCTCTGTTGTGGAAATACTCACCGTGGTCCTAAACTGCCGCCAACCAATACACAAAAATTGATAGGTTTGGGGGTAAAATTCCCAACCATATTGTGATGTATGCATATTAAGTCAGGATCCAAATAAGTAATTGGACATATAACAAAAAACGGTGGAAAAGTTTCTGCTTGCTATTGTTTTTGGTTTTGCTAAAATGGATGATTGTCTGAAGCTCTTATATCAGGAAGTGGGCATGGGTCATCACCTTCAAAATAAGAATGGTTAGATGGTTTGGTAGCCCAGTGTAGAGTTTCACTTTAGACATCTGGGCTAAAATATTTGTTGGCCTTTATTGTGTTGAATTTTTAAAGCCTTGCCATTTGAAAATTAAAAAAGCATTGAATTTTAAATAACTTTCCTGAAGAGTTCTTCAGAACTGGGACCTGACATTGCTGTCAGCTGTTTCTGTTATTTTAAGCAAACTAACTATATGTTTAAAGACTTTTAAAGATTTCAAGATATTTTCCCTTAGAGACATGACTTGAATAATAAATACTTATTGGGGATAGGTATAATAAGGGGTATGTATCCCTTGACCCCTCTTTTTCTTTCCTTCCTTTTGACCCTAACTAAGGAGTCGAAGTGTATCAAGCCCTCCTGGTAGCCTGGCTGCGATACAGTAATGCTTTTGGACTGTTTGTCTACAACAAGTCTAAGTGATACTAATTAACTGACGCATCTTGGGCCAAAGACCACCTAAAAATACAGAAGGTGCCAATAGTAATCAGGGGAATAAAATCCAGGCAATAGAAATTTTTACAACTTAAAATGTTGGACTTATGTTTTATAATTACAGATGACCTTAATGTAAGTGGTATCATCGCTGCTGTAGTGGTTGTGGCTTTGGTAATGGCACTGTGTGGCCTTGGAGTATTTTATGCACAAAAAAAGGGCTACTTTACAAGTAAGTAAAATAAAAACACTCCTTCCTCGCATCAAAAAAAGTCTGTACTTCTGCTGACTGTAACATGCCCTCCTTTTCATGAAGGCTCTGACCCCGTGGTACTAAAGCTAAAGAGCATTACAACAGCAGCTTTTTTTGTGCAGACATTTTTATTTTTGCCATCTTCTGCTGCAAAAGGTACTTTAAGACTGCCGTGGAGCCGTTTGCGGGGTTGCATAAGGCTACGCAAATATAACAAAAAAACGGAGCCCCGGCTCGTACAGCCGCCCTGCTCGGGTGCGGAGGGGGGATGGCGGAGAGGGGCCACCTCAAATCAAGCCCTGCAAGGTCACTTCTAGCCGAAAAGGTCTGAGCGGCCGAGTCCCGATGAAGGGAAAACCAAGTTACTGGCTCCCTCTCCTGGGTCGTGGCGAAGGCGCACGGGCAGAAAGCTGGCTTTGAAGGGTTGCTGCAAAAATCTCGGCAGCGAGCAAACCTTCCCGTGGCGTTTGCATCGGTGCCTGCAGGGTTCAGCGCAGCCAGGAGGGGGGCCAAGGGTCAGGTTCTGTTTAAACTCACTATGCCAAAAAGAGACATTTGGTTCAGAAACTCCTAGAAACGGAAGAGCTGAATAAGCTATGAATAACGATTTCAAAGAACTTTAAATCAGCTAAGGAAACTGTTCTTCTGCTAATTTTTATTTTCTTCTTTTTCAGAGGAAAGTTCTTCCCAGTAAGTATCCTGATGCAAGTAGTACACAAATCACTGCAAACTTCATTTGTATTTCTGATGATTGTTTTAAGGCCTTTCTCACATGATTCTTGTACAGTGGCTTTTTTGAATGCTGACATAAACCTGATCCTAAGCACCGGCTGGTTCCCTTTTAAGAACCAGTGTGCTGATCAGAAAATGAATTAAAGCTTTATTACTGTGATAAATGTGTAGAGATCTGTCTTTTTACATAGTTATGGTTTACATCCCTAACTCAGCTGCAAGCATGCATTTGTCTTCTCTTGAAACTAGACAAAAGATGATCAGAACCAAACTGAACTATCCTTATATCCACGTCTACCCATTATTTCAGGAAATGTTTTGTAAAAATATGACTGGTGGAGATGTTCTGAGGGTTGTATGGTCTACTCCTTTGATATGAATTTATTTCATGCACCTAAATTTCTAAGTAGAATTCCTCAAGCTATTTTAGTGCTCCTACACAAGGCTAAAATTGTGTGCTTCATTGGAGGCTGGTTTCCAAATCTTTTGTTTGTTTTGCTTTTAAAAGTTTGTCTTAGCACTTCTAGGTAACAGCAGGTAAAAAAAAAAGTGCAACATACTAAAAAGAAATACAAGTATTACTTTAAAATACTGTGTGACTTATACTGGCCATGAACTAGACAAAAAGCATAACTGGAAGGTTGGAAAAGACGGGCTAGGGAAGGTAATTTCACAGTGGCTCATGAGATAATGACAGCTGTCTAAAAGCATTCAATTGATTTGTTATTGTAACTTTTTTCTAAGAGGGGAAAAACACCTAAGGATTGCTGGAAATCTGGAAAAATGCATTCATAAAGAAGGTTCTCAAAGGGTTAAAACAAACACCAGAAGTCACTGTTTAACCTATGTTCCTTTCCTGTTGTTTAACAGAAAGAAGACCAACTATCAATCTACAAGTGAAAAGGCAAGTATTTTGCATTCAATAATGTGTTTAAAGTTCTAGATGTCTTCAAAATTCCTTAGATCTGTGATGCTTTTGCACACACCCTGCACAAAACCATACATGCCACCAATACCTGGAGATACCTTATCTCTGTTTGCATTTATAGTTTTCTACTACCTAGCAGCAACTACAGCACCTTGCTCCATACTTTGCCATCTCTTTCTTCACCACATTAACCAGACTCTTGTCTGGTTGTCTTTTACTTCTTTCTTCCAACATCGCCCTGTTCTGTTAGCTTCCTTAATTCTTTTTCTTCCCCCCTTTCATGAGTACTTTCCCTCCATCAGATAAACTAAAAAGGTAACACCCTTACGCTATTTGGCAATTTCTTCTCTATACTGTCCACTTAACGATGCCATTTCTTGTTTGTGAAGTCTTGCTTGTGCATATCTGTTAACCAAGGGAACTAACTCAGGCACAGTTCAAGACAGCAATGAGAGAAAGATTGAGCCTTAATTCCTCTAAGATTAATGTGGTCAAAATGCTTGACTAAATATGGAAGCTAACCTCGCTACTTCCCCTTCCTCACTGGGAAGGCTCAAGGTCTTTAACTGCTCGTACACTGCTCCAGCTTTTCAGACTGGTGCAAAAAGAACAGAGCTCCAACTGAAGCTTCAGCCATGAGCAACCTAATTTCACTATCTGAAGTTTAAGGCTGTATTAGTAGCCTTAAGTTTGCTGAACACAACCCATTTCTTTAATCAAAACAGAGCGTACCAAACAGTATAAGGTTATTCCTTCACCTAGTATGTATGCAAGAAACTTAGTGAGGTCAGCTGCCTGGTTGCTCTGAGTGGGAAGGAACAAACTTTGAAGAGTTGTGGTATCTGTTTATCAATATTAATGCACTTACAAATCAGATCTTAAACAGACCTGTTTGATACTTTTATTTTTTAATAGGTTATTACTTGTGTTCGGTGTAACAGTGTGTTCCGTAGACTTCCCTTTCCAGAAAAGAGTAAATGTTAACTAACAGTGCTTCAGACATGCTTTTTTTTCCAATCTTGATGCCTTAGTTTCTTCTGAAATGTACACTAAATGTTAATCTGGTTAAATCTTTGAACTATTACTTACATAACCTTGTTTGCTTCATTTAGGATTTCAAGCATACCAAGTCCTTTGTTATTTAGAAGACTTCAGCCTCTGTGAGGGACATCAAATGACTACTTGTTATACAAAAGTATCAAAGGGATCTTTTGACCTCTACTCTGTAAATAGTTTCCACATTCTATACACTGCAAACAAACTCCCCATGTTTAGATCCAGTCAACCTAATTGTCAGCAGTTGCTTTTTAAAAAAAAAAAGCAAAACCCAAAAAGAGTTAAAGATAGAACTACATTGAATATACAAGTCCATTTGTGTCAAGATTTCTCATTTTGTTGATGTGTACATGCAGCAATACAAGATTCCCTCTTACAGCCTGGAACAATCCATTCACAGAACTTTCACAGATGACCTTGCTACCACTACTTCTACTACTTATGCCTCTACCATTGTCAAAGGCTCAAACTCTCCTGCAGTTCTGACTTGTATTAGATTCTTGACATTGTATTAGATTTACCAAAGCGGTCTATAAATGCATAAGTAGTCATGCAGACTTAAACTCACTATCCTGACAGCATAAAGCTTCCTGTAATTGAAGCTCAAGCAGTGTTTTATTGTCTAATATAAAATGCCTACAGCTTCTCTTCCCCAAGGAAGTATCTCTCTCTCTGTAGACAACATATGTCATTTCATTCTGAAGAAAAATATTGTCAGTACAACTTGGCTGTAGTATCTGGACCCTAACTCTTGAAGTGTCACAAATAAATTGTTCCTTGGAACTTGAAGTGTTCATGTCAGTTGTTCAATTACTGAAGTTTAAATCTCACAGCTTCATTAAAAGGTTTCAGTTGCTTTTATAAACATAACACTTCATCACTTGTGTGTTCTTTGATGCAGTGTAAAATCAGTATATTTGTGCCTAAGCTTTTGGTTTTGCAGGTCCATCACTACCACAGGACTTTGCTACATATTTAGAGTTCACAGTTTTTTTTTCCTGCAGAAGCTTTTTCATGTGACAAACTTGGGAAAACAAGTAGTTCCTTCTTGGTCTGCCATTATTGGTGTTGTAACTCCAGTGTTAACTGCAAAACTCCCTTGCCAAGCTCCATTTTAACAGTGAGAAACACTACTCAGATGCCTCAGTCACTTAAAGAGTTGACAATCATAGCTAACTAGAATCACCATACAGTTAAGAAATTATTCACACTTCTGAAATCAAACTGAAACACTGCATTTATTAAGTTAAACTGGTGCCATGTTCAGCAACTCCACTGATGTACACTGCTGTTTGGTGTACAACCTCCAGAGATCACTTTGGAGTCTCCTCAAAGTTGGGCTCTAAAGGAAAAAGGGGAGAGAGAGAGAAAAGTCATATTAGTCTCCTTTTACTCCACTCTCAAACACCACAATTTACCTGTTATTCAATGAAAATGAAACACTACTTTGGCAAGCTAAAGCAAGTTCTTGTTTGTTGCAGTCTGCATCACCACTTACTTTGTATCAGGGTAGGACTAGCTGTGGGCAGCACTAAAGAATAACCTAGGCTTGACAGCACTCTTTTCCACCTTGGAGGAGTTATGCACAAGGTTTAAGACAGGCATGCACAGCTGTTAGCAACACCTGGGATAGGGGAGAAGGCAGCAGAGAAACTGTAGAAGTCAACCAGAACATCACTGGCCATGACACTAGTATTTCCAACATAGCTCTGATACAAGTAACTAAGCTCTTCTTTCCTCTTGGTCAGTATCTTACAGCTGATTAACAGAAGGGAGGACACAACTTCAACTCCACTCAGCAGAAGACATTCTCCATGTACAAACACCGAGGAAGGAGCTCTTGATGTCAAAGGTACAAACTCAGAAGAGTTAGGGCTTTTGACTGGTGGGCTATTAATGCCCATTCTCCTTGCTACAAAGGAGTCTGAGAGGTAAGGCTCACCTTATAGGAATCTTCACTAAGACAAAATAAGTTTCTACCCATCTAGCCACTTAGTTTTGAGAACTTGTTGAAACTAGATTAAGGACGGGCAACAGTGGTAAAAGAACACAGTCTTCCCGCCACTTTGTTCCTATGCTCGCACAAATTTTGTTCCATTATGAAAAAGCCCTAAATTTTAACATGTACTGTTTCACATATTACATAGAAATAAAACTGAATATGAAGAAACTACATCCCTAAAACTGGGAGGAAAAAAACCCACACCACCATAGATCCTACTTTACAGATGCTCTGTTTTAGCTGCACCAGTAACAATCTGACACCAAATTCTTCCTTAATCCAACGGAAATACTACCAAAACCCAAAACGTTCTTCAGGGTGTTCCTAGCCTAAATTAGAATTTCCAGTTAGTCTGATCAGAATTACAAGTTGCCAACTATGGTGGTTCAACCTTGGGCAACTGCTACATGCCCACCAAGCCTCGCACTCCCTCGCAAAAAAACCCTCCCTCCCAAGAAGGGCTGAGAATAGAGACAGCCTTTTTCACCCTCTTTAAAATAAGGTCTCACAGGGGCGCCACCAGCATTGCTGACAGCTCAGCTGTCTCCTGCAGTGGGGCCATTTTGGAAATGGATGGAACTGGGTCTGTCTGATGTGCGGACAGCCCCTGGCCTCCCCTGATAGAGGCCACCCCTGCAGCCCCATGCTACCAAAACCTTGCCACGTAAACCAAATACACTGGCACATTCAAAAGATCACTGAATCCCAGATAGCAGCTGCTTACAGCTTACGAGAAAGACAGCTCACCCTCCGCAAAACCTGACTTCATCTAAAACTGCTTGTGAGCAATGAAGACTTTGAGCTGTACTTACATAAGCAAGCAAAAGAAACAAAGAACTACAGAAATGAGCGCATCTGTAAAAAAAATTGTTGCCTTTATGTCCTAAGGCAGACATGTGCCTGTGCAGTTCCTCTGCATTCTTGATAAAACAACTGCCACAGGCATTCTTCTCATCATAATCAATGTGGGTAATACAAAAACAGGCTAACACAAACTTAGAGCAGTTAAACAGAAGTCACAGCCAAAGAACTGAAGAAAAAGGTTTAAGACAATTTAGTCATGAAGTAATCATAAGTAACAAAGTTAAGTTCTATGTTAATTTTCTGAAATCGACAACTTTCCAGATGAGCTTACAAAATTTACAAATTGCAGTCTGGATGACACAGACAACTGGTTTTCAAATTATAGTCTGCTGACCTTTTTGGGAGGATAAGGAAAAAATATAACAAGAGGCAGTGGGCTATTTATATTTCTATTTGAGACTTTTTTTTATGGTATGTGAAGGGTAATTAATATAGCCTGATCTGACTGCAAGTTTGGTTAAGCATCAGTATAATTAAGTCCACATCTTTACTGAAAAAGGCAAATAATTTTAAGAAATGAGTCAGAATCAGATGTGAACTGTGCAAAAGTAAGGAGATTCACTGAGGGCATCTTACATGAAATTAATGAAATAATTCCCATTTAGTTTTTATTAAGAAAACCAGTCAGTGAACATGTCCTTGCTCATAATTAGAAATTCAGTAAGACTGTTAACTCACCCTCAAATTTAAATTCTGGAAACTTGGTTAGATCTCCCTCACCATACGCCCGTTGAAGTCTAGCAAGGGATTCACTCATGTCTTTCTGAAAGTCAGGGCCTGCGTCAACAGGCCCTCCGGTTTGCCTAAAAAACATTAGAATTTTTGATTAACAGTTCAGTTCCGAAACTCCATGTGGAAGTTCTACCTTTTCCTGGCCATTTATGAATTAAAGACCTTTTTGACAATCAACTAAAGCAAACCATTTAAAACATTTCCAAAAGTCGAGACACAACACACCTTAGGGCCTACTTACCTTACACATAAACGAGGTTGTCAGGATGAAAGTACAGGCTTTCTACCATCAGTGATGAAAATCCAAGCTACAGAGGTAGCCTTTTGAGATGTAAAACTACAGAGTATCCATGAGGAAGAACTTCTTTACTCTGAGGGTGATGGAGCCCTGGAACACGTTGCCCAGGGAGGTTTTGGAGTCTCCTTCTCTGGAGATATTCAAGACCCGCCTGGACAAGGTCCTCTGCAGCCTGCTGTAGGTGACCCTGCTTCAGCAGGGGGGTTGGACTAGATGACCCACAGAGGTCCCTTCCAGCCCTGAACACACTGTGGTTCTGTGACTCTCAGTTTCTTATTCCAGGTGTGATTTCCTGATAAAATTGCAATTTGTACCTCTGCTATTTCTGAATTAGTGATCTTGGTTAATAAAACTTAACTGTCCTTGCAAAGAGAACATGTTGGAACACTAAACAAGCAAGAAAATCCAAGAGACAGGGCTCCATCCATTCACACAGATTCAGACAGGAATTTCTTCGAATACAAATATAAAATAATTAAAATAGTAACTCTTTAGATTACCAGTGGTCAGTTGTACCAACACAGCTGTCACTTATGACTGGTAAAGCCACTAAAAATATGCCTCCCTATACAGGTGAGTTTGTAGGTGTGGAAACACACATCTTCCTCCAGTAGAACTAAGAAGTAGCTTAATTCCTTATTAAGATGTTTAATGCATCAGCCTCACAGTTCCATAATTCTCAGTTGCTTTTGGAGGTTATTTCCATTCAGCTTCTGGAAACAAGACTGAAGAATAGCCTTTTTCCCCAAATGAAAAAAATAAAAGTGGCTTTTTATTTTTGCTTTTTTACAGAGCACATAGATGGGTAACAATTAACACACTGGCATGTTCACATAGTGTGCAAAAAAAACTTAACTGAGTGCCTTAACTCCCCAAGAAGAATGACATCAGCTCTGCTTTTTTTTTTTTTTTTAAGGGAAAAAACCCCAACATTTTCTGTCAGGTACGCCAAGAACAAGCTTTCTCACTTGTGGCACTATAAACAAGCGTTGCAGGAAAGCATACCTTCAGTATTTAGAGACCAACCTGCAAAGCCAGCATATTTCAGCATTTGTCAAAAATCAACATTTTTTTCCCCCTTTTGCCACCGGCTTTAAAATAATTTCCTTTACTTACTTGCTCTTTGTGTTGTATTCCCTGATCTTGTCCACGAAGAGCTTTTGAACTGGATCGAGCTCTTTTGCCTTATTGAAGGCCACAGCAGAAAGCCCGATGTTCCTGCGCAAGTGGATGGAAACAGCAGACCGAAGGAGGGAGGAAAGGCGCAGAACCCGACGCAGAATCATGGCGATGCTGACGCCTTAGCTGAGAAAACCCACAGAGCAACACAGAAACACAGAGTCAGTCGGCTCTTTCCGCAAAGCAAACGCGTGAACAAGCAAAAAGTCCGGTTCGGCGAGGAGCTGTAAGCCAGCCG